CAGAATGTGTTACAGTCATTATTCTGCTTATCTCACATGCGTGACAGCTCACATTTTAGTATATAAACCAGCCCATTACCGCCTGTGTAAGTTATATGCAACAACACAATCTGTTGAACCTGTAGCCAGCCAGCTGCTCATATTAATCAAACAGCCCACTTCCCTTTATGACACAAAGCAAATAGTCATAAATGCTCTTATCAGCCTTTCTAATAGTGTGGACGTTACAATCAGATTCATGGTGGCATAAACTATTACATTTCATCTTTATCATATCGAACAATCACTTCTTTTTCATGAGCATCGTTTGTAACCGCCGGACAGCTTGTTGCGTAATGAAATTCAAAGCAGTCTATCTGCTCGAGGGATCTCACACTCTGTTTACTTATATTTACATATATTTATGTGGATTTTGTTTCTCCACAACAGGCAAACAGGCATGATGAATGTATGGCTGCGGTCCCACAGGGACATGTGGCTCCCTGCAGAACTGATCTGTGGTCAGGCAACTTCCAGCTTTACTGTAAAGTGTGGAGAGCCTCAGTCTGTGCAACGTTTTATTACAGTGGAGCCTCTTCATCATCTCGGCATGTTGTACTGACAAATAAAGACTTTTTCTTTCTTTTTCTTTGGAGTAATGCAAGGATGACTGTCTTTGCAAAATACAGTCATAAATACATACATACATAAATAACCATTGTCAAGCCATGCAGATGCTTTGAACACAATATACTGAAAATAAAATATATGCAAATTCTCTTTTATTTCCATATTCACAGCACAAACGTCCAAAATCTGACAAATGTTTCACTCAAAAAGGAAATTTAAACAACAGCTGTATGGTCAGATGTCAGTAAACAGTTAATTGTTTAGGTGAAAGGCACTGCAGCATTCTTCACAATCAAATGTGAGGGAAATGTTAAGACCTCTGCTTTGTATACTCCCCCTTTAATTTGGAACACTTTGATTAATCAATTAATATTCCTTTCTCAAGGTCTTTTTATAAACCTCATCATTAATAAAAGCAGACATTCAATTAGCAGCCAAATCTTGATTGCCAATTTTGTCATAACAGTCTCCCTTTCTATGGTTTTCTTTTTTCTTTTTTTTTTGTTCGTTATAGTTGGGAGTATGGTGTGGGTTGGAAGAATTAACTAATTTCATTAATCTAATTGTCATCGCTTTCAACCATCCCACTAATAAGTACAAATTAATATGATTAATCAATTTGACGACATAAACTCATTCAATTACAGTTTTTCAAAGGCAAGTGGGTGTGTTGGGGTGATAGGGAGGTGCGGCGACTGAAGGGAGGTGGGCGGCCGAGCAGCTTGCTCTGTGAGGAACCCAGCCCACAAAATTGAAGTCAAGTCAGGCAATTAGTCATTGTGAATGATAAATAAATGGTGATGAATTGTGGAGGGCAGATACCCCACTAACTACAGTCTTATTTGATTCTGTGAAATCAGGTCCCTTTTTATATAGAAACATAACTGTACACCATAGACTATTGGCTGCATTTTACAACACTGACTGTGTCCATATATTTTTACTCCAAATTTGCAATCAATATCAGGACAAACAAACTTTCTTTTTAGATATAATTTAAGAACTGTCACAGATAACAACTGAGACATCTTTACTAGATTATGTTCTTTCTTCCCTTGTTTTCTGAGCCACCATTGGAGTTAGACGTGAACTTCTCACTAAGAGCTACAATAAACTGTAAATTACATTTAAACAGTGTTGCTATGCTGTATTTGCAGATATGTATTTCAAATGTTCTGTCCTCTTTAATATGAGTGGAGATTACTGCTATAAATGTATTATGTGTATATTGTTGCTGTAGAAAGGTTGTTGCCTATGTACTTCAAAAAGAAAATGTGATGTGCATGAAACACAACATTTATTACTTTGAGTGGGCGATATGACTAATCATTTCTATCACAGTATATGCAATTTAATTTGTGATATAGATTTTTTTTAAATGTAATTTTGTTTGGAAAATCAATTTATAAACAGTAAAATAATAATAAAATAACAACTATACAATCCATTAAATTCATCTGATTGATGCACAAATCCATTTTTTATTTTTTTTTTGCAAAGTAGCCCTTATCCCCAGCATATGGAAAAATCTGAGTTATTTTGTCTCACACTAAACATTAAATCATACAATATGTTGGCATATAGTTCCCTAATTTAATCAGCCTTTTTCATAACATTAACTATGACTCCGTTCTATTCGAGGGTCCCAGTGTGACAGTGGGACAGAGAGCCAACATGCACAATACCAGGACCC